CTGCGCCGACGAGGTCTTGCCGCAGGGGCCTCTCCCCCCGCGAGCCCGCAAAGCCTGGCCCCGGCTCGTCTTCTTCGGTTTCTGCGCGCGGAACGAGGCCGCGACACTCCACGGGCCGGCGGCCTTGCGGCCCGATTGCTTGTAGCAACACCGGGAGGCGCTGTCGCCGATGGGCGCCGCGCCCACCGCGGACAGCATCGCCCGCAGATCTGCCAGCTCAGCGCCATTAGGTTCGCGCCCTTCCTTTGCGAGCGCGGCGGTCCGCAAGCGTTGCTCGCGCTCAGCAAGCAGCGCTTCAGGAGAAGTGCCTCTCCGCTCGAGCAGCCCGGCAAACATGGCGTCTGCCTCGCTCTCGAACTCGGCCCCGGCGAAGACGCCATTCGTCAGGCGCGCGGCCAGAAAGTCCGTCAAGGGCGGGGGCTTGCGCCACGAAGGCCTCCCCGAGCTTGCCCGCCGGGCTGGGCCCGCGACGCCCAGCAAAGGACACGATGCAGCCCTCTTGCGCCGCGATGCCCTGCGATTCGCGGACGGCGAGCGCCCGCGCCAGGCGCAAGGGCATGCCAGCGCGAGTCATGGACTGCAAGGTCTTGCGCCGCACCTCTGCGCCGGGGACTGGCACCCAGGCCCCTGGGGGATTGTCGAAGCAAGCGGGCCCCTTGCACGCGGGGAAATGCACGACCACGATGTCAGGAACTGGGCAAGCGGGCCCCCCCAGGGAAACGCTCCGATGGCGGAGCTGGGATAGCCGACCCCTGCGAGGGCACTCTGACCAGTTCGCTGCCCCCCTGGGGAGGCGCACGCGACGGCGACTACCACTCCCCGAGCCCCATTCACGAGCCCGAGGGGCACAGCGGGGACGCCCCATAAAGAAGCGTGCGTTAACATCGCCCGCGCCCCCACGCACAGGTGGAGCGCCCTGCGGAGCTGTCGGAAGTCATCAGCACTCCTGTGTAATCCGCGCGGGTCGTTGCGTCGTGCCTCTGCCCCCACGACGACGCCCCCCGCGCTGGCCAAGCCTGGCGCGCCGTGAAGTGGCGCCCTGGCTGCCAATCGCTTACCGTCGATATTCCCGACAGCTTGGTTCTCCGGCACGAGCACCAACCCCTCCCAGACGAGAGACTCACCGCCCTGCCACGCGCGCGGGTTGGCCGGCCTCCCGCTCGCTGACAACGACGACCAGGGGATGTTCATGGGGTGCTGCCTTTGGTGGTCGTGATTGTAGCGGTCGCGGCTCGGCGGGCGCCGGTAAAGCCCGGCGCCGCGACGCGTTCGCTGCGCCCACGCTTGCGGGGGCCGGGGTCCGGATTGGAAGCGCCTGAGTTTAGGGCGGCGCTCCTCCGACCCATAACTGCTGCCCACGTGGTGGACATGGGGGGCGCCGCCGGACTGGGGCCCGGCTGCGGGCTCGTCAGAACGGTTCTCCACTCCGCCACCATGCTCTTCTGCAGCGCCAGACGTCATCCTTGGAAAGCTTGACGACGTACTCGATTGCGGCCGCCCGGCACGCCCCGTCGGCCTCGCCGGCAATGCCCGGCGCCGGGCACTCGACAGCTGACGCGAGCACGAGAGCCGTTTCTTTGTGCAAGCGGTACTTCAACATCTTGTTGAAGTCGCAGTACCAACCAACTTGATCTTACCATTTGCGCCCCCCGTCGACTGATCGGGTCGGTCAGTAGACACAAGGTCTCTGTCGGAGACACCTTGAAAACCTGATCTGTCAGCGCCTTCGCATCGTCAAGGGACTCTATTTTGGTTGCGCTTTGGCCGCGCACCAGCAGCCACACCCTGTTTGCACCGATGTTTTTGGCACCGTCGCGGCAGACTGCCAAACCTCGGAGCGGGCCCTCGACGACGCGACTCACAGGCACCGGCAGAACGACATCGCCGGACACCACGGAGAGGCTGTAGCACATACGCAAGGCACCCGTGGAAACCACTGCGTCCAGAAGCGCGATGCCCACCTCCGTGATGCATCGCTCGGCCACCCCGTTCTCCTGGCGGAGAACGCCCCGACTGTTGAACCGGTGCTTGGAGCCCGTCAAGGACTGGGCGTCAAGCTTGTCCGCCACCTCGTCAGCAGTCGAGCAATCGTAGAGTGTCGGGGCAACATCGGTGACCACGTCTACGCCCACCCCCCCGGCGGCATCCCGAAGACGACAATTCCGGAGGAAGAGGCGGCCGTCCTGCGCGCACACCGTGCCCCGCTGTGGCAGCGCGTCCAGGAGGCACCGGTTGATCTGAAACGCGATGGGCTGGGGGTGGGCAACGGCGTCGGCCAACGCCATGGCGCGCGCGGAGTGCGCCGCGGCCTCCACGACACTCGCTAAGCCGCCGCCGGAAGACGGCATCCACTGGGCGGAAAGCACCTCGGCCGACAGACAGATAACGCCCAAGCTCGTCAAAGACTGAGCCCGATCGCCAACGGTGCCGACGCGGGCCCCCGGCCAGATCTCGATCTTCACATCGCCGTTCTCAAGCGCAGCACTGCCTCCGAGAACAGCGACGCCGGACCCCGAGCGCACGTCGGCAAAGTACTCGCGCGCCTTTTGCCACGCGGCCACCACGATCTCCCCGCCGCCAGCATCCGCGAACTCCGCTTCGGCTACTATTCGGAGGTTGCCGTTCTTAGAGACTTGCCTGGAAGCGCCGACGCCGAGGAACTCGCCGCAGAAGTCGAAGGCCGCCCTTTGGTTTGCACCAGCGGCGCTCTCCTTGAGAAGCACCACGACGACCTCGATGTCCAATGCGATCTGCAGCCCCTTAGCGGGATGCGCCAACGCTTCCGCGCTGGCGGGAGGGACTCGGGCCAGCATGGACGGGCTCCGTGAATTTTCTGAACGCTTCGACTGCCGCATTCCGATTCCTGACACTGAATGGCACAGCGCCGAACATGTACTGCGCGGGCGCGTTGGACACCAAAACGCAACTGAACTTCAGCGCCTGCACTTTTTCGTTCCTCGAAGTGAACGTAGAATCAATGACTTTCGGGTCCAAGACCCTCACGTACCACTTGGCGTACTTGGCCGTCTGGGTGTTCATGTTCTTCAGCGTCTCCACATTCTTGTCGAGCACTTCGGCTGGCAATGCCTGGCCCTTCGTAGCGAAGCCGAAGGAAGTGCGTGACCGAAGTGGGCGCGTTTCCGGCCCCCCCGCGTGCCGAGTGCAGCAGAAGCCTTGAGCCGAAATCCCTGAATGGTAAGAAAGTTGACGGGGGGGCGGACCCAACGTCTCACTCAATCGATCTCACAATGGACACCACCATCGATTTCATAATCGATCTTCCCCGATGGATCACCATCATCATCATCAACAACAACACGGGTCGCCATCATCATCAACAACAACATCATCATCACCACCATCACCATCACCATCACCATCATCATCATGTCCATCATCATCATCATCACCATCATCATCACCACCACCACCATCATCATCATCAACATCATCATCATCAGCATCATCATTATCATCATCATCATCATCATCATCATCATCATCATCATCATCATAGGGACACCGACGGGACACCGACGGGACACGGGCGGGACACCGGCGGGACACCGCGGGCCCCCAGACGCCTGGACGGCAATCATTTGGTCCGGCCGCGCCTCAGCCACACGGGACAACAGCGGGACACCGGCGGGACACCGCGGGCCCGCAGACGCCCAGACGGCAGTCATTTGGTCCTGCCGCGCCTCAGCCACAGGAGACTTTCTCTCGCCCGCCCACGCAGCTTCACCTCGCCCGCACGCACGGCACACACGAACACGAAACCGAAATCGATTTCCCGGTACGGGGGCTCTCCGTTCCACTTCGATCTCACCCCTCAACCTCCGACATATACGTATCAGAGTGAGGGGGCGAACGGTCATTCATTGTCCCTGGGTGCGTGGCTGAATAGGGAACTCGTGGTAAAAATTATGTTTGTTGCGTTATTGCTGTTGTTATTGCTGCTGTTGTTGTTGGTGGTGGCGGTGTTGTTGTTGTTGCTGCTGCTGTTGTTGCTGTTAGTGTTGTTGTTGTTGCTGTTGGTGGTGGTGTTGTTGGCATTGTTGTTGTTGGTGGTGGTGAAGGTGTTGTGTTGTTGCTGCTGTTGTTGTTGCTGATATTGTCGTCGTCCCACCCGCGACCCACCCGCGATCCATCCCGCGACCCACCCCGCGACCCGACCCGCGACCCATCCCGCGATCCACCCGCGACCCATCCGCGACCCACCCCGCGACCCACCCGCGACCCACCCCGCGACCCATCCGCGACCCACCCTCAAGGGAGGAAAAACCACCCGGATCCGACAATTGACGTTTACTGAACGGCCCTGGGCGTGTACTGAACAGCCCTGCCCTATTCGATTCATTCCTTTTGTGCGTTTACTAAACGGCTGCTTCGCTTGTGGGGGTGATTATTTTGGGGTGGGTTTTCTGCACTCTACCCCCGCGACCCACCCGCGACCCAGCAGCGACCCACCCGCGACCCATTTGCGACCCACCCGCGATCTACCCACATTGGTTTAACGAAGAAATCGGCGCCTGCGGCGGGCTCATTGTATAATTTGTGAAACTTTGGCGTCTGCGGTGGGCTTCCCCAGAATCTCGCAAACTGCCGACGTCAACACCGCCCCCTCACTCTGATCTGCATCTGCGGGGTGCTACGTACCTAGCGAGAGAGGAAGAGAGATAGAGGGAGGCACGTAACTATAAGAGTGACTATCCTTATGGACTTATGGATACGCCTTCCATCGAGTATGCGCGAGTTTAACTCAATAATGCGCAAACAACCTCGGTGCGTCATGGTACATTATCGCACAACGCGCCGATGGCACGGCGAGCAAGACAACCACTATGGCATTGCCTGGGCCGACCCGAGGGTTACAGGACTAGGCTACCAATGGAGATCATACTACTGCTCGCCTGTCCCGAACACTGAATGGATGAGGTGTTCCACAATATCAATTGACGGCGGCCTGCCTGCTTACGAAAATTGTCTGAGGGCGGCACGGATCGCCAGAAGAGAACGTTGGCGGATATGTAACCTGAGTAGGCAAATCGCATGCTGCTCCATACATCCGAGCACCCCTGACACATAGCCAGGACACACAGCATTGGTATTTCACCTCGGGCGGGATGGTTGCACGAATGCGAGCCTCCCATTGCCAGGGGTGACAAGTCGTGTGAGATGCTTGGCTGTCCCTCTTCCCCTGTTCTCGCTCCCCTGGGGTCCAAAATACTGATTGGGGCAGGCGACCGTCGGGAAAGGCCCCCTGAGCACGGGACGGACGGGGCCCCCAAATGGCCCAAGGTGGCTCTAACGTGGCCCAAGATGGCCCCAGTTGGCACCAAGTTGGCTCCACGATGGCCCTGGAGCCTCCCAACGAAAATCCCCAGAGGCCCGAACCTTTGAAAACAATTGCGTGTTTCCATGATGTTCTCGTTCTCGTCGTTGCTCCCTCAGATGGACGTCAGAAGCCCCAAGACAGCCCCAAAGTGGCTGGAGAAAACCCTGCGGAAACCCAACCGGGGCCTATCAGGGCATCAACTGTTCCCAAAGATAATCCAAGAGAGCCCCGAGATAGCCCCGACAGGCCTCCCGGAGGCCCTGGGCCCCGCGATCAATTATCCGGGCGAAGGTATGCAGTTGTGAATACCGCAGTTGTGATTATCTCTTTCGGTAGAGCTCCCTAGCCCCATGCGAACCCAGCCACTGAGGCCTTCGGTGGAGCTCCCCACGGGGCCACGGAACGTGTGAGTGATGTGCCAAAAATCGGGTGGAACCGCATGCGAACGCAGCCACTGGGGCCTTCGGTGGAACACCTTATGGGGCCACGGAACGTGTGAGGGGGTGTGCCGAAATGGGGGTGGAACCGCATGCGAACGCAGCCACTGGGGCCTTCGGTGGAACCCCCTACGGGGCCACGAAACGTGTGAGGGGGTGTGCCGAAATGGGGTGGAACTGCATGCGGACCCTGCCACTGGGGCCTTCGGTGGAGCTCCCCACGGAGCCACGAAACATGTGAGGGGTGTGCCGAAATAGGGGTTGAAACCGCATTCGAATGGGGCCTTCGGTGGAGCTCCCCATGGGGCCACGAAAAGCGTGAGGCGGGAGTCAAAATAAGGGCGGAACCGCATGCGAACGCAGCCGCTGGGACCTTCGGTGGAGCTCCCCATGGGGCCACGAAACGTGTGAGGGGTGCGCCGAAATGGGGGTGGAACCGCATGCAAACGCAGCCACTGAGGCCTTCGGTGGAGCTCCCCATGGGGCCACGGAACGTGTGAGTGATGTGCCAAAAATCGGGGTGGAACCGCATGCGAACGCAGCCACTCGGGCCTTCGGTGGAACACCCTATGGGGCCACGGAACGTGTGAGGCGTGTGCCGAAATGGGGGTGGAACTGCATGCGGACCCTGCCACTGGGGCCTTCGGTGGAGCTCCCGATGGGGCCACGAAACGTGTGAGGTGGTGTGCCGAAATGGGGGTGGAACTGCATGCGAACGCAGCCACTGGGGCCTTCGGTGGAGCTCCCCACGGGGCCACGGAACGTGTGAGGGATGTGCCAAAAATCGGGGTGGAACCGCATGCGAACGCAGCCGCTGGGGCCTTCGGTGGAGCTCCCCATGGGGCCACGAAACGTGTGAGGGGTGCGCCGAAATGGGGGTGGAACTGCATACGAACGCAGCCACTGGGGCCTTCGGTGGAACCCCCTATGGGGCCACGAAACGTGTGAGGGTGCGCCGAAATGAGCGTGGAACTGCACGCGAACGGAGCCGCTGGGGCATCCGGTGGAGCTCCCCACGGAGCCACGAAGCGTGTGAGGGCGTGCCGAAACGTTTGACACGCGGAGGGCAGAGGCAGGGGTAGGGGCTGGGAGGAGGGGGAGGAGGAGAGGAGAGGAGGGACGCGGGGCGCTGTCTCTTCAAAACGAGGACCCAATACCACAGGATGCTGGGGAAAAAACCTCAAGAGGGAACCAAGGAGGGCCCAAGAGGCCTCCAGCGCCCAAAAGCATCCCCAGACGACTCCAAAAACGCCCAAGCCAGGATGGCCCAAAATTGGCACACGGCATAGCCCAACCGAATTCGCCGGCCCAACGGGCCAGGGCGTGCTAAGATCTCCGGTAACTGATTAACAGTATTAACAGTATTTCTAGTTCGCGCGCGCGGGGCGGCCCCTGGGGGTCCCCCGGCGAAAAGTACCCCGACCAACGCCCGACCGCCGCCCGACCGCCGCCCGACCAAGTCTACTCAGAGATGGTTTTCCTTCTGGGTGCGGCCTCTCAGGCTCCCCAGAGCGCGCTCAGAGTGCCCCAAGAGGCCCCCAAGACTGCCCAAGAGGCCCCCGAGACGCCCAAAGAGCGCTCGAAGACGCCGAAGATGACCCCAAGACGGCCCAAAAGGCCCCCAAGACAGCCCAAGAGGCCTCCAAGACGCCCCAAGAGCCTTCCAAGAGGCCTCCGAAGAGAGCCCCAAGAGGCCAAAATCGTTGATTTTCATTGGTTTTTTCGATGTTTTTTGTGTTCTGGCTTTTTCGGCTTCCGGACGCTCCAAGACGGCCCAAGAGGCCCCCAAGACCGCTCCAAGACGGCCCACGAAGCTCCCAAGACGGCGCCGAAACGACCCAAGAGAGCCCTCAAGACGGCCCAAGTGCCGCCCAAGACGGACCAAGAGGCCCCAAGACGGGCCCAAGAGGGACTCAGGAGGGATACCGAGAACTCAAAAATGGAGCCCTCCGTCCCAGAAGGCGCCCAGGAGGTCCCAAAGAGGCCCCAAGAGGCCTCCAAGAGGCCCCAAGATGTCGCCAAGAGGCCCCAGGAGACTCCCAGGAGGCCCAAAAGAAGCCCCAGAAGGCTTCAAACATGTCTCCCAGGCGCCCCCGAACGGCCTCTCAACAGACCCCAAGAGGCCCCCCAAAGAAGCATCTTGACGACGACTCTATTTCGCCCCATCGAGAGACGACCCCCAGGGAACTGCTTCACCATCAAAACTCCCCACGCAACGCGTCCGAACGACACCCGCCCCCAAGAGCGCAACATGGGCAACGAACACACAGACAAAAACCAGCGATGCCATATCACGGGCCGGCGGAATGAGCGAAGCGATTCAATAATCACACGTATGGCCCAGGAAACGCCGTGTTGGGGATGAGAAATATCATGTTGAATTTCGCTGACAAGCTGCCTAACGAATACCAAAGTTCACTGCTGGCTGTGTAACGTTGATGCCCCCTTTCCCTGCCCTCCTTCATTCCTCGTCCTGGTACTCCTCCCGCTGCTCCTCTGCACCGTTGCCTCATCCTCGTCCTCATCCACGTTATATCGATATTCCTCCTCATCCTCCTCATCCTCCTCCTTCTCCTCCTCCTCCTTTTCCTCCTCCTCCTTCTCCTCCTCCTCCTCCTCCTCCTCCTCCACATCCTCCTCCTCGTCGTCATCATCATCATCAGCAGCATCATCGTCATACAAAAAACATCATGATCATCAGCATGAGCATCAACATCACCATGGTCAGCAACAGCAGCAGCATCACAACCATCATCATCATCATCATCATCATCATCATCATCATCATCAACACCGCCACCGCCACCACCACTATCTTCATCCTCATCACCATCATCACCAGCATCATCGTCGTCATCATCATCAGCAACAGTAGCATATTCATAATCATCATCAGCAGCATCCCCATCATCCTCATGATCATCTTCACCAGCATAATCAACAGCAGCATCACCATCATCATCAGCAGCATCAACAGCATAATCAGCACCACCATCATCATCATCGCCTTCGTCATCAGCATATCATCATCGTCACTATCATCATCAGCAGCAGCACCATCGTCATCATCATCAGCAACAGCATCAGCATCATCAACATCATCACCACCACCACCATCCTCATCATCATCAGGTCACAACAGCGGCATCATCGTCCTCCTGAGAATGACAATCCTACTCATAATCGTGATCATCGCCGTCATCACCATCAGTTGCATCATCTGAATCATCAGCATCATAGTCATCATCATCATCATCATCATCGCCAGCATCATCATCAGTTTAAAAGGATGTTTGGAAGCCCAACCAGCAGCTTCGCCTTAGGCGAAGCCAAGCTCCAGCTCTGTTGCACCGTAGCAACGATAGTCCCAGTAGTAGGGGGCGAGCCATCTCAAGCAGTCTTGGTATCGATGGCAAATGGCACACCTCGCGCTGAGGTGTATTCAGATCTGGGCGGCCGGCCGCTGGGAGCCAAGCGCCCGCGGATGCACGCTCGTTCCCACTCACATGCAACACCCAACTCACTTTAGAGTTGGGGGGAAGGGAGACGAAGCGTGAACCCGCCGCCTCTATGCAGCAGGTACAGCAGCTACTAGTTACAAAAGGGCAGCAAAAGGGCGGGGCCGTAAGGAAGGTGCACCCGCGCGCAAGTTGCCTTGCCTGCACTATACTGTGCATACGAGTACTCCTCAGGCGGCTACAGAACGAGATGTCTGGCCAGCCCGATAGGGAGTATGACGCTTTAAATCATGTTTGAAGGATTGTGTACCTCCCAGGACCTGTAGGAGCATTTCTCTGTCGATGCTCCCCTTGGTGTGACCGTCCGCGGTCATATCGCGGGTGTCACACCACTGAATGCTGTGCACGATCCCTCGCTCCATCATCTGTCGTATCCAGCTGATGTGTCCTGAAAGGGTACACGTAGTCGGCTTCTTCAAGTCTTTGCTTGACAAGGTCTTAAAAACAGACTTAGCATCTATGGTCAAAGTGACCTTGATGCTCAGGCCACCCAACCCAAGTACGTCTCCCAACTGAGTGGGAGTTAACGGCCCAACGTGGAGCCCGTGCAGAGTCACGATCGTGGGATAATAATCCTCCAAATTGCGGGCTGCTGCGAGTGTCTCTGCTGAATAGCCCGAGCGGACCTGCAAGCGGTGAGACTTGCAGTACGTATCGATCAAGTGAACGACGGGCTTACCGGATGGCGTGCTTCCACGCCGTAGCAGGTTTGCCCCGCGAATACCATAGCCTTTGACTTCGT